CTCTCTCTCTCTCTCTCTCTCTCTCTCTCTTCTCTCTCTCTCTCTGTGTGTGTGTGTGTGTGTGTGTGTGTGTGTGTGTGTGTGTGTGTGTGTGTGTGTTGCTTTGTTTGCCTTGTCTTGTGCCTGTCTTGATGTCTGTCTGTGTTTCTGACCGACTGGCAGCCGTTGATGGCGTTGATGAAGAAGTGCTCACTCAGGCTATCATCTCATAGACGATTTTATCTCTTTCTTGTAGCGTTGCCTACCCTACATTAGCAAGATGGGGCCTTGAGATATCATCGTCGAACTGACTGGCCCTAGGTATCCCGAATTGCAGTATTTTACTCATCTGCTCTCAGTGGAGTTCGAACTCGGTTCTGTATATCAACAGTTCAAGGGTGTACCAACTGAGACAGGCCAGTTCGTGGCTACCGTACTAGCAAGATGGGGCAAGACCTTAGCTGTACGATGAGGCGTGGTCGTCGACATCACCCTTATCATCAGCTGGGGGAGGAGAAAGAGAGAGAGTCTGACTTCGATTGGGTGGAAGAAGCTGTTCTCCACTATCTCCAGGGGCCATTATACTCATTTCCCCTCCTGACGTACATTGATAAACACTCTGCTATTTTTAACGACAACGACGATAACCATCACCACAACCAGAACCTTGATTTTCTCATTTCCAGCCCACGAGCTCCTTGCGCTCAGATCGTTCCCCATGAGGAGACTCAATCCAGGACTGAGGTTGATTCTCCCCAAACTCCTCCGATGCAGATTCGGACTCAGCCTTCAGACTCCCCTAGAGCTCGTCGGACTGAACGAAGACATCAGACTGAGCCTCATACTCAGTCTGACTCCCTTAGAAGTTTTCAGACGGAACGGAGACGTCAGACCGATACTCAATCCAGGACTCAATCTGAGTCTGATACTCAATCCAGGACTGGTGGTCCCCACATTGATAGTGAGAGTCGGCATCCGTCTTCTCCCTGTGGTGGTGTGAGAGAGACCACCTCCCACAGGACAGAGATTGACGAGTGCCTAAAAGTCCAGCGAGGGTTCAGGGACTTGATCGCGAATATGCTCAACGATTTCTTAACCGAGTTGGGCATTTCGCACGACAGTTTCGCTCAAGTGATCGAATCCGAACGGAATCTGAAGTTGCTGGACGACTTCGTTGTCTGGTCACTTCTTGCGTGCGACACGAGCAACTTTCCAAGGTTCAAGAAATTCATGGTGGAAAGAAATATCGAGCTCACGAATATGGCACTTCGCATGATGAAGACGAGCCGTCAACTTAGCAAGTCGCCCGACTCTGCCCAGCCCATTGCCAGCATCTACTCGCCGTCCTCCTCCTCCTCGTCTTCTTCTTCCTCTTGCTCGTGCTGCAGAGAAAGCCACTCCTTGAGTGAAACCTACCCAACAATGTCGATGACAGCTGAGGAGTACCGTGACGATTTGCTAGTGTACAACGCGCAGGTGCATTGGTGCCCCAACTGCGGCCACGCTGGACGATTAAATTCCCCCGAAAAGGAAAGGAACCTGTTTTGTCAGGACACTTCTCGGACGGGAGCGTTGCTCGGAAACTATCAACCAGCAGATGAAGACCTGGAAGAAGCCATAGCTCTTTCTCTTTCAGAGACGGAGATGGAGTTGAAGCTCAAGGCTATGGCGGAGGAACAAGCACAGATTGAGGAAGCAATACGTGCTTCTCTCTACGCCATTGGAGACAGCAGGGATTTTCAACCTTTTCTAGACTCCTTATCGAATGGATCAAGTTGTTCGGCGTCATCACCACCGCCATTGTGGCTGTTGGCTTCGTCTTCTTCCTCCTCTGCATCTTCTTCCTCTTCCTCCTCTGCCACTACCTCATCTTCCTTCATGTCTTTCCCCTCATACCTCACCTCTTCTTCCTACTCCTATGCCTCTTCCCTCCATTCCAATGCCGCATCATCATCATCATCATCATCACCACCACCACCACCACCACCACCATCGTCATCATCATCATTGTCGTCTTTGTCATCATTGTCAACATGTCTTCCATCCTCCTCGTCACCCTCCTACTCCTCCCGGATCTCCAGCTCCACATCCACATCTTCTTCATCCTCCTCCCAAAGCTGCACAACCACTTTCTCTCTCCGTTCCATCACCTCTTTATCCTCCTCCTCCTCATTTTCTTCGATCCCTTCCTCCTCCTCCTCTGTTTCTACCTCTTCTCTCTCCTTCTCCTCTGTCTCCACCTCCTCTTCTCTCTCCTCATCCTCTCATTCCACCTCGTCTTCTCTCTCCTCCTCTTCTCATTCCACCTCCTCTTCTCTCTTCTCCTCCTCTGTTCCCAACTCCTCTTCTCTATCCTCCTCTTCCTCTGTTTCCAACTCCCCTTCTCTCTCCTCATTGTACTGCAGCCCCCCTTCCTCCTCTTTTGGCATTACCTCCCCATGCTCTCTCTCCTCTTACACCTGTTCCTCTACCACCTCCTCCTTCTCCTCCACCACCCCCTCCTCCTCCTCCTCCTCCTCCTCCTCCTCCTCCTCTTCCTCCTCCTCCTCGTCTGGCCGTAAGAATGATACGCGATTCTCAGGATCACCCAAGTGGAAAATCCAGTCTGTAGGGAGAGGAGAACGACTCAGGATCACCCAAGTGCCCCATGCAGACACCAGACAAACAGATCTTGATCATGGCCAGCAACATCGCTCTCATCGTGAGCATCAGCAGCAGGAGGTGGCACAGCAAGAGTGTGCTTCGACCGATGAAGGCCACTACAACAAATCACCGGAAACTACACTCCAGAGCAGAACACACAATCATGTGATCTCTCCCTCCCTCCATATCCATACTATCGATGACAACAACAACAACAACAACACTAACTATCGTAGCACTAACGACGTGGTCAATCTCGTATCGGTCGGTTCCAAGCAGAGCAAGGCTGACATCCCTTCGAGTCAGCACTTGAAGAATGACAGCAATCGCGGTCATGGCGATGGCGATGGCGATGGCGATGGCAATGGCAATGGTGATGGTGACGGTGAAGCCAAGAAATCGCCACCGCCACAGCCACAGGCACGGCCACGAGCATTGCCAGCATCAGTGGTTGTGGAAGAGGACATCCAGAAAAGAAGGGAACACTTCCGCAAACAAAGGGACTTGCTTATTGCCAAGAGAGAGGCTGAGAGAGAGAGGCAGATGCAGAGTTACCGAGCAATGAAGCAGCAAAGTGTTGATCGCCGAGCTAAAGACCGAAGTCATTCTCCTTCTCCTTCTTCTTCCTCTTCTTTCTCTTCTTCTTCTTCTTCTTCTTCTTCTTCTTCTTCTTCTTCTTCTTCTTCTTCTTCTTCTTTTTCTGCACCGTCATCATCATCGTTATCGACGTCCTTATCCACTTCGTTATCGTCATCATCATCCACTTATAGAATGTCAAATGGCTCAGCGACAACGAACAAGAACACAGACACTGAGGAGGCAGATTTGCTGCGCGCTGACTTGCGCAAACACCTGGCCCGTCGGTTGAAAGAAGAACTGACCTCCAGATCGTCAACACGTGACCAATACGTCGAGCCTGACTGTTAAGCGCTCTGCAACAACACTTTCATGTTTGCATCAAGACATTGGCCCATGTCACTGGATGGAGATGGAGATGGAGATGGGAGATGGAGATGGGAGATGGAGATGGGAGATGGAGATGGAGATGGAGATGGAGATGGAGATGGAGATGGGAGATGGAGATGGGAGATGGAGATG